TGTGTGTGTGTGTGTGTGTTTGTCAATATGTTTTGTGTTGAGTGTGTACAGCAGCGTGTTTATCAGGTGCTTCCGAATCATGTGAGTGGAGCTGTGCTGAATCCACAGATAATTTGTTTCTGATTCGGCTTGCTGGAACTATCTGTCACAAAATTAACTGAGCATGCAGAGTCGACTGCCACGAGGCCAAGCAGGCCGACCTTCACCAGCTTTAAAAGTCACCTGGAATGATTTTTTACTTTCATCTTTCATCGCAATTATTTTGTAAAGCAGAGATCTCTTTCAGACAGCTGACAGCTCAGTATCAAATTAAGATGTATCCAAACTCACAATTTTGGTACAATTTGAGCAACTAAAAACATCAGTTTAAAGTCATTGAAAATGTGCAAACGCACACTCTCTCTCATACACATATGTATATACACACAGTGTTCATTCAGCAGGTCTCCGAAACTTTGTGCTTCACCCTGAAATACTACCCTCAATGATTTCTCTCAACCATTTTTTTTCATTTTCAGTTCATTGTTTCTTTTTCTTCTCCTCTCGTTTTTTTGCCAACCATTTCTCTTTCTTATACTCCCATTTTCTCTCTTTCGCATTCTTCCTTTGTGTCTTTATGTTCCTTCTCTCCATCATCGCTTCAGCCCCTTCAACATCTCATTCTTCCTTTTTTTTTTACTCCCCCTCTCCCTCCCTCTGTCTCATCATGGACACCAAGTTACCAGCCATTTCAGTCTGATCAGTGCAGGCGTACATTTGTGCCTGTGTGTCCGTGTGTAATAACCATGAATCACCAAACTGAAAGGGCCAATATAGGCTGTAGTGGGAAACTGTCTATGCCCCATAAGTTTTGTCTATTTCAGCTTCATTTCTGGATAGGTGGAGCAGATCGAGACACATCGTCCATCTTGATAAACATTCTATAGTCCCACATATATAATAACCTCACCTTAGTAACTGTAAGTAAGCGTTAACATTGGAAATAGCCTCTCATCACTTACCTTCCATCTATAAAAAAGAGGCTAGGAGCCGACTGAGCATAAATGAACACAATGATGAGCTTACAAGCAATCATTGGGTAATGGTTATGAAACATTGATATACAGCACAGTCAATCAGATTAAGGTCAGACACCACATCAGCCATCACGATGAGCGTTGTTAAGAGCAATAAACCATGTGAGGGAAAGGACTTTGTAAGGTCAGGTAGTCTGCAGTACAAAAGATTAATAATCAAGCTATAGAATCAAGCTGTATTGACTTACATGTAAGACACAGGTGGCTGTTTTTCTGCTTGTTTGCGGAATACCTCAACTCTGAAACACACTGCGAAGGTGGCCAGTGGGAGAGATGATCTTTCAGCATCTGTCGTGGATGTTGCACTGTTCTCTGAAAGCGAACCTCATTTTCACAGCTGCCAACACATATATGTTTTAGCAGAGAAGTCAAATTATGGAGGGAATAATTTACAGGCGATCACAAAAAGAGTTGTAATGTAAACAGTAGATGCAGAGAGATGTTGTGGTGAGGATATGATTTAAAGGTTGTGAAATGTTTCCCATACCGAGATAAATTTCCAGCTTGAGTTGAGTTACTCTTTGGCCCTGACTGAGATGAGAAGGTCATTCCAATATTTCTCAGAGCCAGGGAGGGAGGAGAGTTGAAGCTGGGATGAGTGATTACCAGGTCACAATATAAGGAGACAGTGCAGGCAGTGCAGGGCATTGACTGGCTGGTATATGTGTAGAGTCTGGACAGACCGTCATGGCCCACAGGCACGGCGATGTGCACTCATTTGCAGTATTGCACACTAGGTTTTGGATTTTGAAATGAGCCACCACAGGCGGTTAGTGGAGGAGGAGGGTGACATGCAAGAATTGGGGAAGATAGAAAGCAGGACAGCCTACAGCAGTTTGGATGAGTTGAAGGCAGCGTGGTCAGAAGAAAGTTGCAGCACTTCAGTCAGAAGTTTCAACAAGCCGAGCAGAAGTGCTGATAAAGAAGTATCTACTTCACTCTGTGATGTGGATGATTGTAAACCATCTGGAACATAAGAAAGTGCTTGAAAGCAAAAGAAAAAATGCATTTGTGAAATTAACATTTATATGTGGCATAGAATCAAAGTGCTTCTCATCAAACATGGTAATGCTGTTGAAATTAGGAAAATTAAAGTGACCCTTTGTTTTATTTTGTTTGAGTCATCTGGGAAAATTCTATTGAACATGCAATGTAAGTGCAGTAACGATGCAATTAAGCCGTGCTCCGTTTCATTAAAAGCAAACCTCAAAGTCCTTAGCGAAGAGTCTGAATTAAAGGAAGGAAGAGAGAGGGATAAAACACCAGAAAGCCGAGAAATAATAAAAGCAAAAGATATTTTAGCACTTCTAAGAAAAGTAGTTTTAGTTTTACATAAAAAGCTCATGGTCTGTCACTCCCTCGGGTGTCGCACAGACATCAGCCATCGTGACGAAGTCGTACTTAAAGGAGCAATAAATCATATAAAGGACAGAACTGTAAAGTCAAGTAGTCAGTCTGGAAGATTATGAACGAGCTATAGAAAATTCCAGTTTGTGTTGAGGTGTGTTGTTCTTTGGCATGCAGATGGGGAAGAATGGGATCTACCCACCCCCCTTAGCCACAGTCGCCCCCTGCTGTTCAGAACGGTTTTCTGTCTTCTGTGTTTCACAACGGGAGAGCATGTGCAGCACATTACATTTCCAATCGTGCTACACTTGTGTCGCTCTTATTTACTTGTTTTTTAGACAAGAAGAAAGCACAAGTGGCCACAGCTGTCAAAAGGAGCGTTTACTCTGCTGTGAAATGTGCGAACAAGTGATGGAAGCTTGCAGTTAAAGGAAGTATATGTTGGCTGACGTGTAGCCTGTGCTGAAGGGACAGCGGCTCTGTTATGCAAGTCAGAATTGTTGAAGAGAAAGAATGTTTAAACTAAGAGAGACAGGTTGTGAGAGCAGAAGCTTTTACTCTCTTTGTCCATCCCATTCCCTGTTTTGTCCCTCCTGTCCTCTCCTATCTCCCCGCTTCTTCGCTGCCCTGACGTTTTTTCCGGTGGTGTTTGTGGTAAAGGAGAACAGTCAAAAGCAAAACTCGCGTGTCACACTGAATATTTGTCTTTCACAAATCTTTCCCTGTTGCTCTCTTTGTCTGTTTTTCCTCCTCGCCTGCTTCTTCCCTAATTAATGTCCTAACCAGTAGGGGAGGAGAGAGGCACCGTGGAGAAGCAGACTGTTTTTGCGGGTGTGTGCACACATGTGTTTATTATCTTAGGGGCCCCACTGTTGGTGTGACTGCGGCTGTGTCTCAATTAGATCTACCTTTGTGGGGAATA